CCAGCCACGATTGTCTATGAACCATTGGGTGTCGTCACGTCTGTAGACGCACTCGGGGTGGATGCGTCTATAGAAAACGCGGCCGTTGCATGTGGCGCAGTACAAGGTCGGAGAAGGGCAGATCCGTCTACGGTATGTCTCTGTTTTAGAGCAGGTCCTGACATGGTACTCCCAACCGCCCCCGGCTCTCCGCTCCCGCACGCCGCCCGCGCCCGCAGTCTCGAGACCGACGGGCAAGGAGGCTCGTCTCCGGCGCCGGGCGGGCGCGGCGGGAGGACGGGGATCCCTGGACTTGCCGCGGTTGGCGTATCGCTGCTGTGCTCAGAACACCCATGCCTCCCAATCACAATGTTGAAGACGGGCTTGCCTTTGCGGTGGAGTTTGGGGCGTTTTGTCTTTCAACGATTTTTGCACCCCGACAACGGCCGCGAACGCAACTTTGGAATTGGGGGTCTGGGGGCGGCACCTTCGACGCAACGTCTGTGGATGGGCATGTTTTGCGCCAACAGCGGCAAGTCGGGCATATCCCGTTGCAGGAGGACTCTGCATCAATCGTAAAACATAGCCTGGTGACGATTTTCGTGTTCTCTTGGCTACTTTTGATGATCTGCTGTTTCTTCCAACATCCGCCTGTAGGAGGAGATGCCCGACCAGTCCCTAGACGTGCTCGCGTCGAGTAAGAATCAGGAGGGACACAAAAACACAGACACAATTAGTTGTCGATCCCCAAGAAAATATAAGAAAGTATGGGAATTGGGCGGGAAGACAAAAACCCAGAAAATATGGGAACATATGGGGAACATTGTTATTTGTGTGTATGTATTTGTGTATCCTGGGGCCCCTTCACAGAAACACGATGGGATTCTCCTCTTCGTTTTCGGCCCCTGAAGGCCCCCTGCCAGGCCCCAGGGCCGTAAAGCGACGGCGCGGGATGAACAGCTCGTCTTGGGGACAGCATCGGGACTCCTCGGGACCCCGCGTTGGAAAACACCAGGACAGCGCATGTCTGGATTCAGGCCTCCCAGATGAGTTCCGAGTACAGTCGGGGCGCTGGAGAAGGAACCCTTTTCGTTGGGGAGGGGCTCGGTGTTCCTTGATTGTTTCAAAGTACGCCTCGGGTTTTTCTTGTGGGAACTTATGGGAAACAGGGGCCTCGTTCCTTATTTAGGATTCCTTCGGTCAACGCTTCGACTGTAGATGGGGTCAGAGGATCGCGCAGCACCGCCGATGCATCGGCGGTGGCGTTCGACGTGGAGCCCGAGGTTCTCCACGCCGACGTCGCCGGTGCGTCGCCGATGCGTCGGCACTGCATCGGCGATACGGCGCGAGCCTCCGACCCCAGCTGGTCCGACCCCATTTGGGAGGCCTCCAGCGGAGGGGGCTGCGCGGAGGACCCAGATCTCCGAGCACACGAGGGTATCGATCCCAGCAAGGTTCTTCAATGTCGGCCCCAGGGGTCCTGCAAGATTCAGGAGGGAAAAAACATACAGACACAATCAATCGTCGATCCCCAGGAAAATATGGGAAAATATGGGAAGTGGGGGGGAAGACAAAAACCCAGAAAATATGGGAAAATATGGGGACTTCTTTTATTTGTGTGTGTTTATTTGTGTGCCTCAGGGTCCCTTCAAAGATGGCCCCAGTATCATCAAACATTCACCGAGCGCGTTCCACTACTCGCAAAGCGCCTGCTCGCAAACGGCCGAAAGAAAACACATGTCCGCTTGGGTGTAATTCATCGTAGATCCTCCGCGGAGGGTCCAGGCCATTTGCGAGTAGTCACTTTGCGAGTAGTGGAACGCGCTCATCTAAGTACCATGAAACATGGATTCAGGACGAATCGTTGGCCCTTGGGAAGGGGTCGGCACTCTTGCTTCGCATTGATCAGCATATCGCCGGATGTCTGGGGAGGAGGAGGAGGGCGAAAGGCCCCCTCTCGTCTTCTCTTCGTCCTCGCGTGGTCCTCCACTTGCTCATCCTCGCCCTCCTGCCCCTCCTCCTCACTTTCCTCCTCCTGCTCCTCCTCCTCCTCCTCCCTCTCCTCCTCCTCCTCCTCCTCCTCCTCCTCCTCCTCCTCCTCCTCCTCCTCCTCGTCCTCCTCCTCCTCCTCCTCCTCCTCCTTCCGCTCTGTAGAGGGAGGCTTCCGCAGACGATTGGGTCTCGGAAGTTTCGTCTTTCGGGGCCCAGGCTGGTTTGCCTCGGGGAGGGCGCCCCGGGGATGCCACCAATCGTTCCGAGCGGCCGCCCTGGACCCATGGTGTGGCCCGCAGCAGTCCGCTGGAGAGAGTGCGGGGCGCACGCGGCGGGGGCCGCGCTGTGGCGGGGGTCGACCAAGCCCGCGTGTGGTTCCCCCCCCTGGCCGGCCCGGGCTCGGGAGCAGCCTCCGCGGACGTGGGTCTGGAGGCCAGGTCGTGGCCGCCCAGGGTTCGCGCCGCGGCCTTGGCAGGCCCAGGTTGGCGCGGACCTGGGTCCGCCTTGCCCCCGACAGGGGGGCGTCCCGTGAGGAGGACTGAGGCCCGCTGAGCGTCAGGCGATCGCAAGCATGGATCCGGGGGGCGTGGATCAGCGACGGGTCCCGTTTCCAATAGAACTCGCGGATTATCGCCTCCGAGCGAGGCGGCACTGGCGGCATTGTGGGGAGGGGACTTCCCTCGATCCATGGATTTTGCGACCGCGCGCCAAATCCATGGATCGCTAATCCATGTTTGCGCGCCCCCGACCTGAGCGGGAATGGGCCCTGAGGGCTTTCGCCGCCTTCGATCTGGCCTTGAGTCGGGCCCTCTACAGGAGGAGTGTTCAAACATAGTCAACTCTAAATAGTCTGGGACGATCTTTCGATTCTTTGTCCAATATGTTTTTGAGCATCTGCCGGCTATTCTTGCTCGTCTGCCAGAATCCGCCCTCATGAGGACCTGCCCGACCTGAGCCTGGCCCCGCCTCCTCATCCTCCTCCTCCACCACCTCCTCCTCCTCCTCCTCCTCCTCCGGCTCGCACCCGGGGGGGCTGGGCCTGTCCTGCCTGCGGACTCTCAGTCGCGCCCTAGCGTTCTGGATGGACAGCGCTCCCCGAGAGCTCCGGCGGACGCTCTGCACTTGTCGCGGCGCCCGGCATCCTCGTCCGACTTCGTCGCGAGCTTGCCTTCGTCTTTCAGCAGCAACGTTACGCGGGGAGCGGCTCAGGGAGGAGCGCACCGACCCCCAATATCGCCCGGTCTTCGCCGAGAGGGGCTCGATGGCCCACTCCACCTGCCCTCGGGGCCCATCGCCGATCTGTCTCTGTCGGCGATCGATCGCCGATTCGGGGTCGATGTTTGTCCTCCCTGGGTTGGTACCCCCCTGACAGATGTTGCCCCTCAAGGGGGGGGGGGCTGGCTGAGCGGGGGAGGAGGAGGAGGAGGAGGAGGAGGAGGAGGAGGAGGAGGAGGAGGAGGGAGAGGTGGAGGAGGAGGAGGAGGAGGGAGGAGGAGGAGGAGGAGGAGGAGGAGGAGGAGGAGGAGGAGGAGGAGGAGGAGGAGGAGGAGGAGGAGGGCAAGATGGAAGGCATGGAGGAAGAGGAGCCGGAGGAGGACGGGGGCAGACGGGAAGGAGGAGAGGGAGCATGAGCCAAGCATATGAGGGTGGGGGCACGGCCAGGGACGATGGGGGAACGGGCCTCGGGGGGAGGGGAGAGTAGAGGGCGAGAGAGCGGGGTGGGAGGGCGGCGGGTGTTCGGCGGAGTTGGGGCGGAGGAAGGAAGGATGAGGAGTGAGGAGTGAGGATCACCGAGCGCGTTCCACTACTCGCCTAGTGCCTACTCGCAAAACTCCGAAAACCATACGTCTGCCTTTGTGTAATGTGTCGTACATTCCCTGCGGCGGATCCAGGCCATTTGCGGGTAGCTACTTTGCGAGTAGTGGAACGCGCTTGTCGAGTGAGGAGAGGCGGGACTGGCATTCGAACAGCAGTGAGCATAAACAGCACTGGGGAGCCATGGGCAAAAGAGGCAGCGAACGCGAGTGAGACGCAGCGCCAGCAGCACGCAGTAGGAGATGTGCTTCGGAGGTTGATACACCTCCTACCCTGACACGTCGATTAGCGAATTGGCCGTTTTCGGTTCGCGGGAGGGCGTCGCGGTCGTCATTTTTTCGGGTCCAGGTCCGTCGGTTTGGGTCCTAGGCCGTTTTCACAAAATGTAGGTTTGCTGAAGGGAGGTTTGTCCACCGCCGAGTGTTCTTGTGATCACGTGCGTCTGTGGGGGGTATGCGGGGAGGGCCGGCGGGGGGGTTGACCAGGACGACGTGGAAGAGGTAAGCAGTGAGGTTTTTGGACGCCGTCTCGCAGACTTGCGGCCGGACTGTGTCGCCGCGCCGTTTGTTCCGACGCGCGGCCTTACGTCTTGGGGAGGGCGCCGCGGCCACCAGGGCAAATGCCGCTTGGAGCGCGGTGGGCTTGCCGTGGAGTTCGCTGCGGCGCAGGCGTCATCTATTGGGGGCGAGGGAACGCAGGGTTTGCCGTGGGTTCACCCTGGTGTCGGCCTCGTCCACTTGGGCGCGCCGAGAACAAACGGCGCGGCGACATCTGTAAGCTCTCAGGCTTTGTGGTAGTCCGCACGCCACCGTTTCGACGCGGCTGCATTCTGGCATGACGCGATCAGGTCTCATCCGCTCAGGCACCCATACTTGTTGGAGCTACGGGGTGGTCGAAGGGGTGACGAATTGACTGGGTCTCAGGGTCATTCGCGTGTAGTGCTACCGCCGCATTTATAATCGTCGGTGGCCCTCCACCAAGTTTTGGAGGTCAGTCTGAGGTGCCAGCGTGCGCGCACTAAGGAAGACGCGACTTGATCCAAGAGCCTGCGTGTTGATGCCGGCGCTGCGCAGGGAAACCCACGCCTCTTTCTTCACAGCGTTAGCCAGCACTGTGTTTTGCATGCTCCTCCACTCTGCTCACGCCACTTTTTGCGCAAGGCTGCAGAGCCCAGGGATGCCTTAGGCGCCGCCAGGCGCGCGCTTCCACGACCGATGGCGCTGCGCGTCGACGTGCCCGCCTCCACCGTGAGGCTCTTCGTGGAGCGCCCCGGGGGCGGGGCGCACCCGCGAGCTCCGCTGCGAGAGGTGGCCCAGGCGCTCGGCTATGCGGGCCTGGGGGAGCTGCGGGCCGAGCTCGGCTCCTGGTGGAGCAGCTGGGGCTGCAGCGGCTCGGTGTCCGCGGCGGAGCTCGTCGCGCTCGTGCACCTCCTGCAGTTCAAGTCGGGCGCCGCGAGGGCGCTGGCCGGGGACCTGGCCGCCGGCGGCGCGACGCGCGTGGTCAGCCTGCCCTCGGAGCCGCTGCACCCGCCCGGGGAGGACGCGCCGGCGGCCGCAGACGGCGCGTCCGTGGCGAGCAGCACCAGCCCCGCGAAAGGTCCTCGGCGAGCCGAGAGGTCGGACCCGAAGGCGGCGGAGCGCGAGGCGCCCTGGCCGAGGTGCGAGCCGGAGGATGTCGGCATGGACCGCGAGGCGCTCGAGAAGTGCAAGCGGTACCTGGAGTACCGGGTGAAGAGGAACCACTTTGCCGGCATCGTGGGCGGGGTGGTGAAGAACGGCAAGCTCGTGTACTTCGAGAAGATGGGCTTCGCCGACGTGGAGAAGAAGGTGCCGATGCAGCAGGACACCATAATGCGCCTGTTCTCTATGACCAAGTGTATCGTTGCGGTGGCCTTCCTCACGTTCGCTGAAGACCCTGCGAATGGGATCCTCTTGGACGACCCCGTGTGGAAGTACATCCCGGCGTTCCGGCAAACGAAGTTAGCTCCTCAGAGGGGTTCGGTCAAGCCGCGCGACCTCGAGACTGCCTGGTTCACAGTGAAAAAGGACAACGGGAAGGTCGTGAGGCAGAAGCTGCCAACAGTGCCCACCCTGCGTCAGCTGCTGACCCACACTGCAGGCCTGGGCTACGGGCCGACGCTGGGCGACCCGACGCCGCCGGGAAAGAACGACCATTATAGAATCTACTACGACCTGATCGAAAGAGTGAACAGGGAGCAGGTCGCCTCGCTGGAAGAGTTCGTGAACGAGCTCGCCAAGGTGCCCCTCAAGGTGCACCCTGGCAAGTATTGGGAGTACTCCTTTGCCACCGACGTGCTCGGCCGAGTGCTGGAGGTGATCTCGGGCAAGCCGTTGGACGAGGTGCTCGAGGAGAGGGTCTGCGGACCGCTCGGAATGTCGGACACCTGCTTCCGCGTGCCGCCCGAGAAGGCGCACAGAGTCGGTGCCTGGTACCAAAGGAAGTCTCCGGAGGGGAACCCTGGCGAGAAGAAGCCGGGGGCTGCGTTCACGCTGGAGAGGCTCGACGGCTCTGGCGCAAATAGCGGATGGGTGGGCAGCAGAGTATCCAAGGTTCTTTCAGCTGGCGGCACTATTGAGACACCGCTCTCTATCAAGGGAGGTATGGTCTCAACGTTTCGAGACTATTTGCGGTTTCTGTTGATGATTCGTGGAATGGGAAGCCTAGACGGGGTGCAGATCCTTCGCAGGGAGACGGTGCAGATGATGATCACCAACCAGATTCCTGCTGCCACTGGTCGTCGCGCGGCCTGGGTCTTCGACAAGAAGGGGCAGGGCTACAACATGCTCGGGCAGATCCAGGTGCAGACCCTCGAGAAGGTGAGCAGCTCGACCTATGCCAGCCTCATGCCCGGCACCGTGAGCGCCGAGTTCGGCTGGGGAGGCTTGGGCGGGCCAGCTTGGACAATCGACCCTCGGCTGGACCTGATCGTGCTCTCGATGACCCAGACTGCCTCGGAGCTAGACCACGAGGAGAACCTCAGGTTCAGTGCCCGCCGGTCCATCCACGCCGGGATATTTGGGCCCACGGCAGGGCCAGTGAAGGTCACAGACTTCCCTCCCGAGGGCCACGAGGGCATCAAGGGCGGCAAGCTGCGCCCGCCGAAGGCCATCAAGGGCCAGGAGGGCACCAAGGGCATCACTGTCACCAAGCCCAGCGACGACGAGCTGAGCACCTTCGCAGAGGCCGAGAAGGAGGCGATGCTACGCCCCAAGTCTCTGAAGGAACTGGCGATCAGCCGCGGCAACGTCGGCCACGAGGTGCACGAGGATGATGGGCAAATTTTCCACCACCCTTACCACATGTACGACGAGGGAGAAGTGATGAGGAGGAGGTCCTGAACCTTTCCTCCTCCTCCTCCTCCTCCTCCTCCTCCTCCTCCTCCTCCTCCTCCTCCTCCTCCTCCTCCTCCTCCTCCTCCTCCTCCTCCCCCCCCTCTCCTACTTGTCCCAGTGGTGGTGGACCGTGGGCCCCTTCAGAGGACGACGAGGGCGAGGCCAGCGGCGGGGCCGCCGGCGCGGGCGGCGACGCGGACGCCGCCCTCGTGGCGGAGGCCGGCAGCCCCGAGGCGCGGCCCCGCGGCGCCGAGAGGGCCGCGAGGGCGCCCGCGAAGACGCCGGCGAGGGCGCAGGCCGCGGGCGCCGAGGGGGCGGCCGAGGAGGCCGCCCCGGCGGCCGCCGCCGCGGGCGCCGCGGCGAAGCGGAGGCCGGAGGAGCGCGGGGAGGAGGCGCGGGGCGGCAAGAGGCCGCGGCCCGCTGCGGGGGAGGGCGAGGCGGAGCCCGCCGAGGAGGTGGCGCTTCCGCCACGTGCAGCAGAGGGGGGTGCAGTCGGGCTTTGTCTCGGCGGGCGAAGAGCGGTATAAAATAAACTTTTTCGCCGTCGGGGACACCTGCCCCTGGGCGGCTGGAAAGTTTATACCCCTACGGTGCCACCGTAAGGGTATAAACTTTCCAGCCGCCCTGGGGCAAGTGTCCCCGACTGCGAAAAAGTTTACTTTATACCGCTCTTCGCCCGTTAATTGTCAGGGGGAGGGGGGGAGAAATGGAGGATGGCATACATCCAGGGAGGAAGAGCCAAACGGACCGGACCGTTGGCGTGTACTCCACGGCCCTGGGCGTTTACTAAGCAGCCCTGCCCTGTTTGATGCCTTCTTTGGGCGCGTTTACTAAACGGCTTCGCGTGCCGGGGTGGTCATTATCGGGGTGGATTCTATGCCCTCCAATAAACTCGGAGGACCTCGGAGTTTTTATGTTTATGTCATTCTTCGTTCCCCTAGAGGGGGGAGGCTTCTTTCAGGGGCAACGAGATAGGGGGGTGGGCATAGGGGGGATGCATCGGCCCCGAATCGCCCATGGATCGCCGATACGGGGTATGATAGCCCTGGCCCGCCCAGGAAGGCACGGATTGGCTATCGGGGGCCTACCGCCGACGTATCGGCGATGTATCGCCGATTCCAGGTCGATGTCTCCCCCCTAATGCCAGTCTCCCCCAATCGTTGCCCCTCATTCTTTGAAGCACCCCTGCTTCTTAGAAGGCGCGGGCCTTGTCGGCAGATGCAGGGCCAGCGCCTTCATCATCATCATCATCATCATCATCATCATCATCATCATCATCATCATCATCATCATCATCATCATCATCATCATCATCATCATCATGATCATCATCATCATCATCATCATCATCATCATCATCATCATCATCATCATCACCATCACCATCACCATCATCATCACCACCACCATCATCATCACCATCATCATCACCATCATCATCGTCATCCGTAGCCATTTTGTCTCAGGCCTTCTCCGTAGCTCCCCTGCTCCTGGACCTTGTCCTTTTGAGGGCCTTGGGGGGGCAGGGCTCTTGGCTCACGGAGCGATGGTGGCACGGGATGGCGCGGAGTGCGCGCCAAGGCGATCGGTGGCCCAGCGCAGGGCAGGCCGAGAGTGGGCGAAGTTGTCCGCCGATAATGCCGTCAGGCGGCTCTCGGGCGAGCTGGCCAAGACCCGATTTCGCCTGGAAGCCGCGGAGGAGGCCCTGTGCGCAGTCATCGGCGACGGCGAGGTTGGGCAGCGACTGCAGGCGATGCTCCCCGCGCTGCAGGCCAAGCTTGGGGGCAGGTCCCCCACATGGCTCGAGCGCCTGCGGCGTAATGTCGCCCTCCACGCTGAGGCGCAGGGCGTGGACATCGTGGCGGCGGGAGCGGCGGAGCTGCGCTGTGCCCAGCGGGGGCCCTGGCTGGAGGGGCGCGCGGCGCCCAGGCGCGAGGCCGAGGATGCTGCCGCTGGGGCGATGCGGGCGGAGGCGCCCTCCTTTTTTTCCTGCAGGCCTCCTTGGCGCCGTCACGCCCGACCTCGCGCTTGAAGGGGTCGGCCGAGATGTGGGCGTCCGAGCTGCGGGGGCGCGGCGCCACCTCGCGGCAGTCGCCGTGAGCTTCAGGGACTACGCAGGCGCTATCGCGGAGGACGGCAGCGAGCAGCTGGAGCCTCTGGATGGCAGGCCGCGGGTGCGCTTGCCTAGGGCCTAGGGAGCTCAGGCGCTTGCGAAAGCGCCTCCTTCTACTGGGGCCAGCAGCGGTCCTTGGGGAGCCCAGACAGGGGCAGACCCTAAAGGAGGGTAACGGACCTTGGCGCGAGGCCGCAGACATGCGGGTGGCCGAAGCCTTTGACCAGGTCCAGCCTCAACCCTGGGCCGCGGATGCGCGGGTGGCCGAAGCCCCAGGGGAGAGAGGCCCCTCGTCGGCGTCGGAGCGCGGAGACGTCGTTGGGGAGCCCGCTGCTGGGCAGACACAGAATGGGGGGGGGTGAGCTCTGGAGCAAGGCCGCAGACGTGCGGATGGCCCAAGCCCTTGACCGAGCTCAGCCCCATTCCAGGGCCACGGACGCGTGAAGTGGCGAAGCCCCTGGGATGAGGGCCCCCTCTCAGCGGCTGGCGTCGGGACGCGGAAGCGTCCTTGGGGAGCCCAGACAGGGGCAGACCCTAAAGGGAGGGGGAGAAGAGCTCGTGCTCGAGGCCGCAGACGTGCGGGTGGGCGTTTCCCTCGACCGAGCTCAGCCTCCGCTCAGGGCCACGGACGCGTGGGTGGTCGAGTCCCCTGAGCCGAGCGCACCCTCCAAGGCGCTGGAGGACCAGAAGGGCAAGCACAAGCGCAAGTTCGGCCTGGACCTGGACGAGGACGGGGGCTTCTTCGAGGGCGGGCTGGGGGACCCGGAGGGCCACTACAAGCGCGAGGTCAGCCTGGGCCTGGGCGCGGACGTGAGCGTGTGCGAGGACTAGTCGGAGTGCGACGGCCTTGCCGGCGGCGCCCTGTCCGCGCCCGAGCTCCTGGAGGCGGGGGCCGCTTCTCGGTCCGCCCTCGCAGCGGCCAGCATCCTCCTGGGGGTCCCGCTCGAGGCCCCGTACCAGCTCGCGGGCGTCGCGGGCTGAGTCGCCGTGACTGCTCGGGTGTCGATTTCCGCTCGCTTCGGCTGGGGCGGGGGGCGGCTTCTCGGCACTAAGGCGAATCCGAGTGTGTGCCTTGGGCACGAGACTGTGCGTTGTTTTCGCATCGGTCCGAGGGGCAGTACGAGCCAGGAGCTCCTGACCTCTACAGACGCGTGGATCATCATCATCATCATCATCATCATCATCATCATCATCATCACCACCGTCATCATCATCATCATCAGCATCATCATTATTATCATGAGCATCGTCATCATCAGCATCATCGCCATCAGCATCAGCATCCTCCGTAGCCATTTTGCCCAAGCCCGACTCGAACCCCCCCTGGCGGGCGTTGCGAGCACGGTGGCTGCTGGAGGCCTCGGGCGACCCCTGGGGCGGCGCCTGGGGCAGGGCCACTGGGCGGGTAGGCCCGGGCCTGACGCTCGGCGGCCACGCTGGCGCGCAGGCTGCGCAGGGAGCGTGCCCAGGCGCGGGACGGAGACACGGCGGGGGCTGCAGCCACTGCAGCTGTGGCTGAGCTGGCTCCCCCGCAGGCCCTGGCGGCGGCCCTGGGGGATCGCCTCGTGTGCCTCAGCAAGGCGCTGCTGTTGCACCACAGGGCTGACGTCGCACTTGGCTGCCACATGCGTCGCCTGGGCGATGCGCTGCGCGTGGTGGCCAAGACGCTGGGCGTGGACATGGACTTCGTGCACTGGGGCATCGAGATCGAAGGCGACGGCGACAAGGCGAGGCACGAACCGCTCGTCGCTGCGGACATCAAGGTGGAGGTCTGCGTCGCAGGCTGGGCTGGGAGTGCGGCAGGCGCTTGGGCTGCGCCGCGATGCGGCGCCGTTTCGCCCGCCTTCGTCCTGGACGCCGCTGCGGTCAGGCGCCCAGCCGTGCGTGCTGGGGTGGGCTCGGTCAGAGGTGCTGCTGACCGAGCTGGGCGTCTCGAGCCAGGAGGCCGACACGACTGCACACGCCGACGATCGCGCGGACGGGGTCGTTGAGGATGTGCTCGACGACGACGCCAAGCTGAACGACCTGGAGGCCCACGTGCCGGGGGACGGCGCGGGGGACGCGCTGCAGAAGCCCGAGGCCCTCGGGTTCGTGCTGGACGACGTGGATGAGCAAGGCGACAAGAAGTTTCTCGGGTCACTCTTGTTTCGTACTTCCAGCCCCCAGATTCAGGACACTCCTGTCCCCTATGGCGACGGGGTGGTGGAGCAGCCGCCGTTCGATGTGGAGGGCAAGGAGGACGTGCCCCCGCCCCTCGTGGAAGGCGAGCTCTTTTTCACCTGCGGCGACTTGGAGGCGATGGCCGCCACAGCGACAAGGCCGCTGGGCAGTGTGAGGCGGCTGTGGGCCATCGCGGCGGGGCGGGTCGAGGACTCGCTATGCTGATGCAGTTTGGGGTGCGTCTGCTCGGAAACCCTGAGGAAAAAATTGGGCCGAATGACCCCGTGGGGGAGTGAGACGTTGCGGCGGGCGCGAGCGTTTTGGCTCCGACTGCCCTTGGAGAGCGGGATCCTCATCATCAACACCACCACCACCACCATCATCATCATCAGCATCATCCTCATCATCAATGTGATTTTCCTCATCCCCATCGACCGCTCGTCCGCCCAACTCCTCCTACTCGATCTTCCCCTCATCTTCGTCGTCTTCGCCTTCATCAGCATCCTCGTCATCATCAGTCCTACTATCCTGTTTCTCCTCCTCGTCCTGCTCCTCCCCGCCCTCCCCTTCGTCTCCCCAGGGGGCGGCGCGCGCGCGAGGGGGCGCGTCGGCGACGACGACCGACGACCGAAAAAGACGAGTGCGAGGACGTCGACCGCTGACGGCCGACTGCGACGACGAATGGCGACGACGAGCGACGCCCTCCATGATCCACCTCCCCTACCCCCACTCGTCCTCCGTCGCTGCTCGTGTACCTGGCTCTTGCTCCCGCGGTCCTCCTCCTCCTCCTCCTGCTCCTCCTCTTTCCGCCGACGACCGAAACGAATGGCGACGACGAGCGCGCGCCCCAAAAATACCCAGGGGCCCCCAAGACGGCCTGTGGACGGCCCAAGAAGCCACGGAAACGGAAACCGAACCCCACAGGCCACGGAAACGGACCGAACCCCACACGCCACGGAAACGGAAAACGAAACCCGCAGGCCACGGAAACGGAAGCCGAACCCCCACAGGCCACGGAAACGGAAACCGAACCCCACAGGCCACGGAAACGTAAACCGCACCCCACAAGTCACGGAAAAAGGAAGCCGAACCCCCACAGGCCACGGTAACGGAAACCGAACCCCGATAGGCCACGGAAGCGGAACCCGAACCCCACAGGCTATTGAAACTCAAATTGTCGAACGGAATGAGTAAACTTTACCATATTGCAAGGTGTTCGAAAGGGTTCAGCTCGAGATGTCAAGCAGTGTTCTTTGGAAAACAAAGTTGCATGATTGAAATCTCGATTTAGCTTGTGAAGTCGTGGTTTCCAATTTTTTGAATGCCATCATCGAAGGTGGTGGAGGGGATGACGTACGAGTCCCTGCGCCAGGATGCGGAGCGGGAGGGAAAGGAGCATTACTTCTTCGACGAGTCCCAGTACAGTCGGCCTTCCGCGGCCAGGATCGAGAGGGATCTCCCGAAGGACTTCGGCCACTTCATGAACACGAAGGGCGCTGACACGAAGCCTCGGACAATGTAGTTTGTGCGGAGCACTGCGGGCGTTTACTCCTTGCCTTCCTCCCAGAGTTCGCACCGAACTCCTAATCCCCCCCCTCCTAGACGGCACAGGTATCCGACTGTGCCACGGCGTTTTTTGGGGGATTGGCCGCAGAGAATCATTCTTTAGGATCTTGGCGGCTTGTGCGAGACATGGCCCGGCCGCGCTCTATCCCCCGAACCTTCGGCGCGCCTTGATTTGTTCACGACGTCGGCCCCCAGAGCTCTCGACCCATCCCACGAGTTTTGTAGTCTTTGCCAGCCGCAGGCTGTTCACAGCGAGCCCTTCCTGGCCCGACACCAGAAGGCCCAAGCCTTGAGAGAGAGATCGGCCGCCGTGACCTATCACGACGCCCTGGAGGTCTGGGCTCGGCTCTTCGCGCCTTCCCCGCCTCCTCGAGCGCGATCCCTCCGAAGAAGAAAAAGCTGCGCAGACATGCACTGCTGGAGCTTCGCGCGGATTTCTCAGTTCGGCGGAGGGCCCCCAGGGGGCGCCTGCGGCGCCGCCGCTGGCGCGCTCTGGCGCGCGCCGCGCGCCAGGGAGGGGGTTCCAGCGCCATTGCAAGAACTCTGCTCGGACCTCCGACAGTTTATGTTTGCGCGGCTGTTTCTTCCTCCGAGTCTCCCCGGGGGCCGGAGCGGCCCACCTGCAGGGGGCTGTAGGCGAGGGAGCATATGGCGCAGGGCGGACCGCTCCACATACTCCTCCTCCTCCTCCTCCTCCTCCTCCTCCTCCTCCTCTTCCTCCTCCTTTTCCTCCTCTTCTTTTTTGCTGTGTGGTGTCCCGCGCCAGGTGGTGGGGGCAGGTGCACCAACTGAGAAGCCAGCCTGCCAGCAGGTACTCCGGATTCCACAATAAAGTGGTAGGGGTCACATTTGGGGGGGGGTCTGATTGGAGCTGTCTTGAGGGTTCGGGGGTGGTCTGGGCAAAGGGCCGCTCTTTCGTGGATGGTCTGGGGGGGTCTAAAACTTCTCGTCTGGGAGGGTTGTGACTCCCCTTTCTTACGAAATCTGGAGTGCCCTACGGAAGCTGCTCATGCCAGGGGGGCCCCCGGCGGCCGACAGAAGGGCTCTGGGGCACCGCGAGGGGCCTCGAAGATCGACGAACCACGCCCCAATTCCAAGAACTGCTGCCAATCATCGCTAAGACACGCAGTGCAATACCAAGCAACGCCAAGCAATGCCAAGCAATGCCAAGCAGTGCCAAGTAGAGGTGCCAGCCAACGCCCAGCAATGCACCAACCCATGCCCAACAATGCCAAGCAGCGCTGGACAATGCCAAGCAACGCCAATCTATGCCATGCCCAGCAGTGCAAGTCAATGCCAATAGATCCTGCTGCCTGCGGCAAGCCCCGCCACAGCTCCTATGCAACAGCGTAGCAGGAAGGAAATGTCTTGACGCTTCGCGGATCCCCACCAGCCCATCCAGGTACGACGCCCAGGGGAGCTGCCCTTACGGGGGGAAGCGTGGCATCACTTGAAGAGCTAGGGGGCTTGCGTGGGCCAGGGGCTTCTTGTATGCCTCTCGGAGTCTCTCGATGTCTCTCGGGGTCTTTCGGAGGCCGCCTGAGGCGTCTTGGGGGGAGTCTCTTGGCAGCTCTTGGGGGGCCTGTTGGGGCATCTTGGGGGCCTTTTGGAGCCCTCTCGGGGGCCTCCTCGGGGCCTCTCGAGGCTTCTTGGACGCCCCTTGGGGGGCCTGGTTTGACCCCCCTCGGAGGGCATGTTTTGATCCCCGTCGGGGGAGGAGGCTGTTTTGATCCCCCTCGGGTTCCAAGCCCTCCTGCTTTGGGCTCTTGTTTTGAATAGAGCGCTGCGGTCACGACCTCCTTCTCCTCCCGCCTCCCTCCTCCATTCTTCCCTCCTCCGCTCTTCCCTCTTCCTTTCCTCTCCTGTCTTCTACCTGGCTTGCAGCTGCCTGCCAGCCTGCCTCTTACCTCGCCGTCCTACGTTATCTCGCCATCTCTGGGGGGGGAGGCTGCGAACTGAGAAATTGTCGCCACAGGGCGGCTGGGTGGCCCAGCGGAATGACGTCCTTCGCAGGTCAGAGCGAGACATCGTCGCCGTTTGAGGGTTGTGATCTGCCAAAGGGTTGCGGCTTTCGAGCGTTGCTGATGAATCCAACGGAGTGACGTTTCACGCAGATCAGAGCGGGACCTCGCCGTCGCTGAGGGGCTGCGAACCGACAAGGTGTCGCCACTTTGAAGTGCTGCAGGTGGGTCCAACAGAGTGACGTCGTACGCAGGTCAGAGCTGGACCTCGCCGTTGCTGGGAGACCGCGACTTATGAAACTGTCGCCAGATTCGAGGGCTGCTGGGGGGTCCAGCGGAGTGACGTCTTACGCAGATCCGGGCGGGACCTCGCCGTCGTTGCTGGGATGGCGAACTGCGGAACTGCTAGTTGTTTCGAGTGCTGCTGGTGGCTCCAGCGGGGTGACGTCCTACGCAGATCAGAGTGGGACCTCGCCGTCGCTGGGCGGCGGCGACCTGCGACTCTGCCGCCGCTGTCGGGTGCTGCTGGCGGATCCCGCGGGGCGGCGTCTTACGCAGGCCCGGGCGGGGCCTCGCCGTCGCGGGGTGGCCGCGGAGCTGCCGCCACGTTCCAGGGCCGCTCGGGGGGTGTCCAGCGGGGTGGCGCCTCACGCGGAGCAGCGTGGGACCTCGCCGTCGCTGGGGGTATGCGGACCGCGGAGCCGTCGCCGCTTTCGAGGGCTGGCGGGGGGTCCAGGGGGGTGGCGCCTTACGCGGACCAGCGTGGGACCTCGCCGTCGCTGGGGATATGCGGACCGCGAAGCTGTCGCCGCTTTCGAGGGCTGGCGGGGGGTCCCGGGGGGGTGACGCCTTACGCGGACCAGCGTGGGACCTCGCCGTCGCTGGGGGTATGCGGACCGCGAAGCTGTCGCCGCTTTCGAGGGCTGGCGGGGGGTCCCGGGGGGGTGACGCCTTACGCGGATCAGAGTGGGACCTCGCCGTCGCTGGGGGTATGCGGACCGCGGAGCCGTCGCCGCTTTCGAGGGCTGGCGGGGGGTCCCGGGGGGGTGACGCCTTACGCGGACCAGCGTGGGACCTCGCCGTCGCGGGGGGTATGCGGACCGCGGAGCTGTCGCCGCTTTCGAGGTCTGCCGGGGGGTCCAGGGGGGCGACGCCTTACGCGGATCAGAGGGGGGCCTCGCCGTCGGTGTTGTGGTGACCGCGGAGCTGTCGCCGCTGTCGAGGGGTGCTTTGGGGGTGCAGGGGGTGACGTCTTAGGCAGATCAGAGGGACACCGCCGTCCCTCGGCGGGAGAGAGGGCGTGCGACCTGCGAAATTGTCGCCATGTTTGGGATCTGTTGGGGGGTCAGTGGGGTAACCTCTTACGCAGGTCAGAGCTGAACCTCGCCGTCGCTGGTGTGAGTGGGGGGGCTGCGACTGGCGAGAACACTAGATTGAAGAAGCAACTGCAGGCGGTCCGATGTTTGAGAAACGGGAAGGGGACAACTCAGTGACGTCTTGTGTGTGGGCTAATTAGGTGGGGAAAGCTGGGCCACGACGGGACACGCTCAACGGAGAGATGAGACCAGCATTCATATTCAGTCAACTGTACGAGGAGCAACCAGAAAGGCAGACGGGGAAGGGGAGGAGGGTGGGAGGTGGAGGATATCGAGAGATGGACAGAGAGGAGGGCAGCATGAGAATCTGCTCTCCTGAAGCCACGCGACTAGATGTTCGACGCCTGATGTCTGTTCGTCTCGCGGGCCCCGCGAACTTCTCGATTCATCCTGGGGGACTGCTGCGTCGCTGCTGGCAACTCTTTGACGGTACCAGGGCCCGCTGATAGGCCCCTCGAGCCCGACGTCGTGGACCACAGCAAGCTGCCGTGTGTGATCGGCAGACGTTGCTGGACGTCGTGGGAGGCACGCCTCGAGCAGGGGGCCACATGTGAACCCTACCCCTGCCCCCCAAGATTTCCGAGGGGGAGGGTGGGGTTCACTTCGTTCGGGGCCTCCCGAGCGAAGTGAACCCCACCCTCCCCCTCAGAACTCGTGGGGGGCAGGGGTAGGGTTCACACGTGGCCCCCTGCTCGAGAGCCGCCGGGATGGGCGGCAGTCGGCGCCACGAGAGGCCCGTGCACGTCCCTGCGCCGAGGCCACTTCCAATGCGCACGGCCAGCGCGACCCGACGCGGTCGACCGGCACAGGAAGGCTGGGCAACCTTGCCAAGGGTGCCCTCCCCAGACCCCCTCGCGTTGCGAACAAATCACGACGGGAGGTGTTTCGCAATTTTCGGCCTCCGGGGGCCCCTGGTGGGCCTCGGGACCGTCAAAGAACGCCTGAGGACGAAAAACCAGTCCCGGGGAAGGGGGTCCAGACCTCTGGGGGTCGACGTTGTGAAAAAGTCACGACGTCGGAGGTCTGGGTTGCACCCTTGCCTCCTCGGCCCATCCCTGGCCGCTTTCACTGTCCACGCCCCGCCCCCGAAGCGTCGACATGGGCTTCAAAGGCCCTTGCATCCTTACTGCGCATCCTTATTCTACGGGACTGCAGTGGCGGGCCCGACGGAACCTCAGGACGTCGGCTGTGCGTGTGGTTTCAGTGGCGACCCATGCCAAGAAACACCCTGCTTAACTCCAGGGTGCCTTGGATTTCTTGGGTTTCGGTGGTTTTGTTGTGGAAAGCGTGAGGTTCCCACATCAAGAATCAAGGGACGCCCTGGGGTCTGAGGGTTGGGTTTCTTGTGGAAGGTCTCTGGTGGTCAAGCCCCTAATGTAGAGCGCCGGAGAGGAGTAGGAGGAGGAGGAGGAGGAGGAGGAGGAGGAGGAGGAGGAGGAGGAGGAGGAGGACGAGGAGGGTCCCGATGGAGCCCTGGTTTTCGAGCCGTTCCTTCTAGGACCACGTCGGGACACCACTCGGGGCCGGGGCCCCTCCGTTGCCGCGGCCGGAAACAAAAACCCTCGTTCTTCATCCAGCGTTAAGTCGGGCCTGTCCCCCTACATGGGGATTTTCGACGAAAAACAAAAAGTACACCCCAAAAATAATCAAAAAATAGTTCAAAATCAGTCTGGGGACTATTTGTTGAGTATTGTTTGACCTTTTTTTTTTTTCGTCGAAAATCCCATTGTAGGGGGGCACGCCCGACATAACGCTTCCTATGGTTGCACGCACGGCGCCTGCACACGGACGAGTGGCCCTTCGGCGGGGAGCCCTTGGGTGCACGGCTTCCGGGCGGCGCGGGAAGGTCTGATGCAGGCACGCGGGCCGCCACCTTCGCCGCGTGGTCGGCGATCGGTGGGCCGCGCACCACAGGTCACTCCTGCCCAGGTTCGCTCCTGCGTGTCACCAAGCGACGCAAGGCTAGCCTCGATGAGCGAGCAGGTCCCCATGGATCACGGGCTTTGACTGTCTCGGATCTCGATTCTCTCGAGTTGCCGGTCCGCTCGCAGACCTCTAGACACTTTCTCCGGGGCAGATTTAGGGTCCCCGCCAGTCCTTTCTTCTTGAAGGTCCCGCGGCTTTGGAGCGGCCCGCGGACATTTAGAATTATGGGAAGCAGTCGGCCCGATTGTTTCGAGTCGCAAGAGGCTTGGCTCTCCCTAGGGGGTGCAAATTGTGAAAGTTGCCCGAGACGTAACTACCGAAGCATGGTGATCATGTGACAAACCATGGGAGCCTGGTATACCCCCTTAATCCTGTTTTCAGCGTCGACTAGCGTCGATGAGCGTCTGGGAGTCGACGAGATAGCGCTGATCTAGCGTCGATTTAGTGTCGATTAGTGTCGATCAATCGCCGATCAGCGTCGATTCGCAGGAGATGGCAAGATGGTATGGGAGGCTCCCATGCGTTGCCACCGAAGGGTGAGAGTGACCCCGCCATGCAGTACATATGCTCGGTTCGTTCCCTGTTGCTGCAAGGGGCAGACACCATCATCACCACCGTCATCACCACCATCATCATCATCATCATCATCATCATCATCATCATCATCATCATCAGCAGCAGCAGCATCATCATCATCATCATCCTTCTCATCAGCCTCATCATCATCAACATCAGCAGCATCATCATCATCATCCTCCTCCTCCTCCTTTTCCTCCTCATCCTCATCCTCCCCGTCATCGAGGATGGGGGCGGGGGTGGACAACTGAAGACAGCGCTGTGCGCTGCGTGACGCTCCAGCGTTGGGCGCCCTCGAATGACGGGGCAGCGCCACGCGCCATGTGAATGTCGCACAGTCCATGTGGCTACAGTGGGGACCCATGCCAAGAAAACACCCTGCTTTCCTCCAGGGTGCCCTGGGTTTCCTGGGTTTCGATGGTTTTGCAATGGAAAGCGTGACGTTCCCACACCAAGAGTCAATGGACGTCCTGGGGTCTTAGAGTTGGGTTGAGGACTGACCTTCACTGAATCTCACTGCCGTCTACGCCGACGCCAGCTTTGGCTGGACCTCCCAGGAACCCACGACATGGTGACAGTCGCGAAGTTCGCAGCTCCCCAGGAGGCCACGAGCTCTCAAAGGGCATCCGAGTGACTACCCACTCCGCTGGACCTCAGCTAGAGAAAGCGGCGACGGTTGCGCAGGTCGCAGCCCCCCAGGGAGCCGGGAGGTCTCAAAGGAGTCCGCGTGTCTCTCCAGTCCGCTGGACCTCCCCTGGACCTCCCTGGAGCCCACGAACGACAATTGCTCAGCTCGTAGCCCCCTAGAGAGCCGCGAGGTCTCAAAGGGGATCCGAGTGACTACCCACTCCGCTGGACCTCCGAAGAGTCCACGAAAGCGGCGACAGTTGCGCAGGTCGCAGCTCCCCAGGGAGCCCGGAGGTCTCAAAGGGTCAAAGGGATCCGAGTGACTACCTTCTCCTCACGACCTCCCATGAGCCTACGCAAGTGACCACAGTTGCCCAGTTCGCGACTATGAGGGAGGCACAGAGGAGGAGGAGGAGGAGGAGGAGGAGGAGGAGGAGGAGGAGGAGGAGAAGGAGGAGGAAGAGGAGGAGGAGGAGGAGGAGGAGGAGGAGGCAGGAGTAGAATGAGGAAGAAGAAGATTAGAGCAAGCAGCGCTGTATCCAGAACGAGAGCCCAACACAGGAGGGCTGGGGAACATACAACGTCGGAGTGCAGGGAGAGGGGCGCCATGTAATTATTTGAGCGACGCCGGAAGACACGGGGCCGCCTGCACGGACATTGGCGCGTAGGCTGCTCGCGCACCGGTCACGCTTGAGCGGCTTCGCTTTCAACGCGGCGTGCCTCGCCAGCGGCCCGCGCACGCCGCCGCGTGAGGTCGCTACGTATGTCATTTCGCGTAGGGCCAGTTTCTCTTGTTGTCACGCGTCGGTCCTCCGACACCGAGCAGCGCACGGGAGCATGCTCGCCAGACCGACGTCTTGATTGTTTCGCAACGTCGACCCCCAGAGGTCTGGACCCCTTCCCCGGGACCGGTGTTTCATCCTGGGTCGTTTCTCGACGGCCCCGAGGCCTGGCAAGGGCCCCCGGAGGCCGAAGACAGCGGAAAGCCTCCCGTCGTGATTTTTGTTCATAGCGCGAGGGGGTCTGAGACTTCCCCAAAAACAGCGAAGAGCCTCCCGAAACAGCGAAAAGCCTTTCATAGCGCGAGGGGGTCTGAGACTTCCCCGCGCTCGGCGCGATCGCAGCGCGCGCGCGCGGCCGGCCCGGCGGGCCCCGCCGGCCCGCGCGCGCACGCGCGGGGGGGGGGTCCCCTGCGGCCGCGGAGGCGCGGCACCGCGGCGGCGCCGTGCGGTGAGCCTCGTGGCGCGGTGCGGGCGCCCCGCTGGAGGGCCAAGGCTAGCGGGGATGGAGCGGCGACTGCAACGAAGGCGGGCGTGCCCCTCTAGAAGAGGAGAATATCCACAAGTAGTCAACAACAAAACGTCTGGGGACGATGTTCTGAGCTTTTTGAAGATTGTTTTTGAATATTTGTTGACTGTGTTTTACCTTTTCTCCAAAGTTCGGGGGTGGACAGAACCCCCAACAGTGACACGTCGATTAGTGATTTGTCCGTTTTCGGTTTTCGAGAGGCGCCGTGGCCGTTATTTTCCAGGCTTGCGTCCGCCAGGTTTGGGCCCGAAAGCGTTTACACAAACCACGTTTTACTAAAGGGAGGTCTGTCCATCCCCGAAAAGTCCGCCTGTGGGAGGACATCGCCGAGCTAAGACTACAGCGGGTGTGGTTACGCCGAGGTGTGGTTTGCGATTGGCGCCGCTGGGGCCTGATGAGCCCTCGTCGGGGCGCGACAGGAAGATCTCCGTCGAGGTCCTCGCCCACCCTCTGGGCGCGGGTTGCAAGCCAACAGCAGCCACACCCTTCGAAGTCGCCGAATCGAGGATCGAGGGGGGTCGGCGTCACCCAACATACTTATGTAATGTGTGTGTGTGTGTGCGTCGCCCCTCCAGGGGCGACGCGAGCGCCGAGACATCTCAAGTAGAAACTCCGTGGCGGGCGCCTTCTGGCCGTGCCGATCGGGAGACGATGTACTACAGTCGGGGCCCTGAAGAAGGAACCCTTTTGGTTGGGGAGGGGCTCCGCGTTCCTTACGTGTTTCGCAGTTCGCCTTTTGTTTCGCTTAGGGTTTCGATCGGAAGTCGAAGTTCAACTTATGGAACATAGGGGCCTCGTTCCTTATTTAGGGTTCCTTGGGTCAGCGCCCCACCTGTACTACAAGATGCTTGCACGATATGCTCGGGCCGGACGCACGGCCTCCGAGGAGGGCACACAGTACTAGTATGTCCTTCTGCGTCCCAGGGGTCTCCTCCTCCTCCTCCTCCTCCTCCCCTTTCCCCCTCCCCCTTCACCTGCCCCTCCTCCTCCTCCTCCCCCTCCTCCTCCTCCTCCTCCTCCTCCTCCTCCTCCTCGACGAGGGCCCAGATTCCCGGCGGAGTCGTTGCTGCAGCCTCGGACGAGGCGACCTCGATCGCCAGGCAACCGCTCTCGGCCTCTCCCTGGGGGGCCGCCTGCAGGCCACGGGGGCCATGACGGGGTGGGGACCGCCCAAAGGGCGGGCGTCGGGGGCAGCGGCGGAGGGTGGCCGGCCCGGACGACATGACAGGGCAGGACACGGTGGAGGCCCATGCCAAGAAACACCCTGCCTACCACCAGGGTGCCCCATGGCAAGCAGGGTGCCCCATGGGCACCCTGCCTGCCACCAGGGTGCCCCGATGGTTCTGCCATGGGAAGCGCGGCGCTTCCACGCCAGGGATCGATGGATTTCCTGGGGTCTCAGGGTTGGGCTTCTTGTAGAAGGTGTCTTGTGGTCGGGCCCCCCACTGCAGGGAAAGGGGGAGGAGGAGGAGGAGGAGGAGGAGGAGGCGGAGGAGGAGGAGCAGGAGGAGGAGGAGGCAGGAGGAGGCAGGAGGAGGCAGGAGGAGGCAGGAGGCAGGAGGCAGGAGGAAGAGGAGGAGGAGGAGGAGGAGGAGGAGGAGGAGGAGGAGGAGGAGGAGGAGGGGGAGGAGGGGGAGGAGGGGGGGGAAGAGGGGGGGTACGAGAGCTGCGGCATATGCGGCCGGTCTCGGCCCCGCCTCGGGGCACCCCTCCCTCAACGCACGGGCGCCCCTCCGGCGCCGGGAGGCGCCTGGAAGACCAGCCGCGTGAGAGTCGATGGTCTGCAGGGGGGGGGGCGCAGTGACACGCAGACACAAGGAGTCGTCTGGGAAGTGGGAAGTATTCACGGTCCACCAAACCAACCCTAACCGAAGGCCCCGATTTATCCTCCATCTCCCGTGGGAGGGGTCGGGGAACATCGGAAAAACACGTGTGGAATGCGTACCCCCCCAACCCGAAATTCGGGTCTTCGGGTTAGGTTGGGGTGGTCTGGTAGGTCGTCAAGTCTGGGGAATCCTGGGGCTCGTGTGTCTATTTCTCTGTGTGTCCCTGGGCCCCCTTTCTCTCTACCGTGCCCTTTGCTGTCCTTGCTGTCGTCCCCCCTGGAGATGGGCCGAAGAAGCAGGACGGGGCGGGGAGTCCCTGCCCCGCCCCCCCCCCCAATTGGAGCGGCGCTGCAGTCCGAAGACTTGCGCCAGGCCTGCTGGTTGTGCAGCGCGCGAGCTGGAGTGTTTTACAAATTTCGGGGAAACGTAGGACTCGAGTACGCCGGAACTCGGGTTTGCCGACGCTTTTCGTCGAGCCCGTGTTGGATTTTTGACGGTCCAGTTTTCGTAGGCTGTCTGCAGCGGGAGCTCGCATCAAATCTCAGACTGGGTCGCGTCATTTTCATGGTGGCCCCGTCAGGCCAGAACCCGAGTCTTGCGTCTCCCCGAACATTATCTCGTGTCTGCCCCGCAGGGTCAGACCTCGCACAGCCGAGGGAACTTTTTATTTTGAAAAGGGCAGAGCATGAGCTTTTACTGGTCTGCCCCCCGCACAGCGCGATCGCGCGATCTTCTTCCCCGAGGCCATCGATGAACGATCCTGGCCTCGACACCCTGCGACGGGCATCTCGCGCTGCTCTCCCAACTAGTAGGGAGGGATGGTGCTGGCAGCTGCGTCGCTGCTTGCGAGCTCAGAGCTCAATAGCTCTGCGCGCGCGCCATCTGTACAGGAGTAGCACGGAGAAGTTCTTGGCTGGTTGAGCGCGTGTGCGGAGCCTCTCGCAATGGGCGGACTGCGTTTTGCCCATGGGGCCTCGTCCCGAGGGGTCTCACTCTGGTCCTCTGCTCATCGGTGCACGCCGTTACGCTCATGCTGGTCGACTGTATGCCCCCGAACGCGCCGTTTCTGCCAGACACTCGACGCCTCGGTCTGTTCGACGCGTGAGCCCCATGGTGATTGCGTTCCTGGGATTGCAGCAAGAGTGCACGCTGCTACACGCACGGCCTTGTGAGGCCTATTGGGCAAACGGCTTCGGAAGGAGAGTGCTCCTGCTGTCTGCGCCCTTTCGCCCGTACTTTAGATGGTCCTCCGAATACACCTTCAGAAACCGAGGGCACATCGATCTTCAAATGATGGTAGAACTGTGGGGCGGACAAGCCCTTCCCCCCCTCCAGTGCCCACTTCGATCCGATCGATCCGATTCGATGCCTAGTTTTGCCAGCTCGATCCGCTTCGATTCCGCATTTACGACGGGTCGACGCGGATGCTGACTCATCGAGCCCTCGAGGAGAATGAGGAGGAGGAGGAGGAGGAAGACGAAGAGGAGGAGGAGGAGGAGGAGGAGGAGGAGGAGGTTGACGAAGAGGAGGACGAGGAGGAGGAGGAGGAGGAGGAGGAGGAGGAGGAGGCCGAGGCGACGCGGCCCGATGCTCGCGCGCGGTCGTTGCGCACCCGGGCGCAGCCGATCTCCGATTCGGCCTCGACCCCGGGGCGCTGCGGCCCGACCCGACGACGCACGCTCCGATCCGACCCGATCTCCCGATCGGATGCGGACTCATCGAGCCCTCGAGGAGGAGGAGGAGGAGGAGGAGGAGGAGGAGGAGGAGGAGGAGGAGGAGGAGGAGGAGGAGGAGGAGGAGGGAGGAGGAGGGAGGAGAGGAGGAGGAGGAGGAGGAGGAGGAGGAGGAGGAGGAGGAGGAGGAGGAGGAGGAGGAGGGGGGGGGGGGGGGGAGGAGGAGGAGGAGGAGGAGGAGGAGGAGGAGGAGGAGGAGAGGAGGGAGGAGGAGGAGGAGGAGGAGGAGGAGGAGGAGGAGGAGGACGAAGCGGAAGACGAGGAGGAGGAGGAGGAGGCCGAGGCAGGCGCGGGCGACGGCACGGGCCCAGGGCGCCGGAGTCGGGGGCCGCACGGGCGCCGCGGGGAGTCCGAAGGGCAGCCCAGCCGGGGCGCCGCTGCAGCCATGGCGCCCGCGGACGGGGCAGCGGGGGGGGGAGTGAAGCCTGGCCTGGCCGCGCTCGGGTGCCTACTTTAGGGGAACAAAAAGTGGCATGAACGTAAAAAACTCGGAGGTCCGCGCGGATTTCTTGGATCGGCGCTGGACCCCCCTCCCTGGCGCGCGGAGCGCGCCAGGGGCGGCGCCAGAGGCGTCGCCGCGGGGCCCCAGTGCCGATCCGAGAAATCAGCGCGGACCTCCGAGTTTTTATGTTCATGTCACTTTCTGTTCCCTTATACTCCCGAAGCTTCCCTGGTACTGCCATCGCAAATATGGATCAAGGGGGCGTGGATTAGCGACGGGTCCCGCTTCCATTGGGGATCGCGGACTTCCGCCGCCGAGCGACGCGGCACGGGCCGCATTTTGCGGAGGGCACTTGACCCGATCCATGGATTTGGCGACCGCGCGGCAAATCCATGGATCGTCAGTACATGTTGGCACGCCCCCGACCTGGGCTTCCAAGTCTTCCTTCTGGTCCACACTGGCTGCACTCGAGAGCCGCCAAATTGTCGCATGATGACGTCGTTCCTGTCCTACCCGAGGTGCTCCCGGCTTTTCGTCGCGCCATTCTGGGGCCTCTGGAGACCTCTGGACCTCGTGAGGTATGCTCTGGAAGCCAGCTGCGCATTCCTGGGAGAGCTGGGGTCACCTTGCGCCAGGGCCATTCCTAGCAGCACTCGGCTCGTGGCTCCTCTCCAGCCCTCCCAGGCGGGGCCAGGTTGCAGTCAAGGCTCCTCGAAGAAGAGACATTGGCACAGTTGGACATACGGGCATACACTTTCGGAGGCCCGCGCACATTTCTTGGATCGGCGCTGAAGCCCGCTGGCGTCGCCTCCGGCGTCGCCCCTGGCGCGCTCCTCGCGCCAGGGAGGGCGTCCGGCATCGATCCGAGAAATCCGCGCACATACGACACGCTTTGGTTCATGTTGATATTCTTGTCCACGCGGAA